TCACAGGTCTCCACAACTCGGTTAGTTTCAAGGTTAAGTACACGATATGCATGAGAGTGAGAGGCATAACCAAGAAAGATACCGTTAGAAGACATGGACTCAAACTTGTCCAAATTACCTTGTTTTAGGATGAAGCACTTGCATCCAAACACCCTAAAGTGGCTTACCTTGGGTGGTCGTCCGAATCGCAACTCATAAGAAGTTTTCTTCATGAAAGCTCGAAGGAAAATGCGATTAGAAACATGGCACGCAGTGTTGATTACTTTGGCCCAACACCTCCTAGGAGTCCTATGCTCATCGAGCATCGTCCTAGCCATCTCAACAAGGGTCTGATTCTTGCGCTCAACAACACCATTTTGCTGAGGGACATAAGGAGAGAAAAACTGATGCTCGAGGCCCAAAGAAGAACAAAGGGTTTTGAAATGAGTATTCTTGAATTCTATGCCATTTGTCACTGTGAATTGCTCTCATGGCATTCTTAGGGAACTCATTTTACAACCGAAGAATCAAATCTTGAGCATGTGAAAAAGCCTCATCCTTACCCTCCATGAAAAACACCTAAGAGTAGCGAGAAAAGTCATCCATGATCACTAGAACGTACCACTTCCCACCATCTAACCGAACTTGAGTTGGACCAACTATGTCCATGTGAAGTCACCCACCGGGTTCCTTGGTCATGACTGGGTTCACAGGTGGATGAGAAGCGGCAACCATCTTCCCATGACGACAAGGGTGGCAAACCAAATCCTTCTCAAATTTAAACTTGGGCAATCCTCGGATTAGATCCAGTGAGCTCAACCTAGCTAGTAAGTCAAAGCTCAAGTGACCTAGTCTCCTATGCCATTTCCAAAGCTCAGAGGAGGATCCGGCCACCAAACATCGAGAAGAGCCAAACGAGTGAGAAAAATCAGCTCGAAAGACACGGCCAAAAGGGACAATCTAGCAAACAAGATTTCCCTAAGAATCAAGAAATCGAGACAAGCTGGTCTTATAAGCGCACTTCAAAGCCATCCCGAAGGGTTGCGAAACTGAAAGCAAATTGAAATGCAAATTCGAAACCAAAGCAACATCCTTCAGAACAAAACTCTCGTTGACCCGAATGGTCCCATGACAAAGCACCTTACCTTTGCTATTATCCCTGAATGTGATGTACTCCTTAATTGCACGGGGTCGAAACTGGAGAACCATTTTGAACTTTCGATCATGTGGCGCGAACAGCCAGAATCAATGAGCCACGTGTTCTCCAGGCCTCCAACCTGCATCAATAGAAAGGCATGAGATGAGCAAATGGCACAACTATGGGGTTAGTAAATTGTGGAGGATACCAGTGTTGGCTCATTTGCCCTGGAAAAGTGTTAGGAAAAACACCAAACATGCCATGTCCCATTTGAGGAAAGTGGTCACCACGTGGGGGAAAATGTGGTACGCTAGAACTGTGGGACTAAAAACCAAAGCCACTGCCACGGGGTTCAAAGTCATATTGACCACAATGTGAACCACGCGGGCACGACCACCGCGTGGTCTCACAACCTAAGGCCTAGCACCTTGAGGCATTGCACCTCTAGGCCTAGCACTACGCCTCTACACATGCGGTACATGTACACCATGGGGTGGGCGGTACATGTTCCAGTTATTCAACTCGTACTCTCGCTGCTCATCTCTCTTCCTCCTAAAGCAGAACTCAGCATGGTGACCATCCCTATGGTAGTAGTCACAGTGATACCTTACCTCTCTCTTGGGTGGTTGTTGGTTCACTCTTTTGTGGGTATGGTTCACTCTTGGTGGCTGTTTGGCTTTAGTAAGGGGATCCTCAGAGACGTTTGGTAGTGTGTCAAGTGGGTCCTTGAGGTAGTTAGGTTTTCGAACCCAAACTTGTTTCTAGGTGGAGCTTTTGGAGGTTCTTCAAACACCCCATCTTTGACAGTGGGCTCAGTGGGCATAGGTGGAGTGATTTTGATCAACTTGGGAGTAGTGGAAGTTTTCTCACTTGGGTTCAAACCACTGCACCCACCAACCTTGCCATAGATATTTTCACCTTTCGCACCTAAAGCAAAGCCTACACCCGATGCACCAGTTCCCCGCCTAAACTAACTCATCATCATGCCCAATTGTGGCTCACTATAGGACACCGAGCTCAAGATGGACCGAAGGCATGTGTTTTGTTCCTCGATTCTCATCTTCTCGTGCCTGCAAGACTCAATCTTTAGCTCTAAACCCTCACAACGTACACACTTAGCAGTAGTGCTATCTGAACTAGCTTTCTCAAGCAGAGAGATCCTAGCAACCTTCTCTGCCAGCTTAGATTGCAAGCTCGAGCAGGACTTGCACACACCCAACAAGCTAGACCTAGACTTCAATTCATCATTCTCATAAAGCAAAGCAACATACTTGGATTACAAAGAAGTAAGGCTGGACATGTGAACAGCACACTCATCGCACTCAACCTCATCTGACAGCACTACAGCGTGCTTCTTAGCTTCCTCAAGTTCCTTCAGCGTGATTTCTAGCTTGTCCTTAAATTCTTTCCTCTCACGGGTAGCATGCTTAAGCAACTTATCTTAGCTAAACAAGGTGTCATTCATGGTTTTAAGCTCAGCAACAAGATCATCGATGGATGGGGTTACCTCATAAGTGTTGTCATCGATAGGAGCCTCATCCTTGCTAGTCTTCTCTTCGGCATCGACCGCCATGGTGCAGAACCCTCCGTGGGTCGAACCGGTGATGAAGCAGAGACCGATCAGCTTGTCCTCGTGCTTCCTCTCGAACTCATTGTCGCTCGAGGGGGAAGATGTGCGGTCATCGTCGGAGTCATTATCGAGGTCGCTGAGGGAGGTGAGGAAGGCGTGCTCCTAGGCCTTGGCCTTCTTGAGGTACATCTTCTTGAGCGCCTCCTTGTCGAATCCTCCCTTCAACTTGTGCTTACTAGAGGTGTACTCGCGCTTGTCCTTGTGCTTGCTGGAGTCGTGCTTGCGGGAGAAGTTCTTGTTCTTCTTGGGGTAGTGGGCGATGAAGTGGTCGGGGTCACCACAGCCATAGCAACCATCCTTCGGACCACCACCTCACCGGTGGTTCATGCGGTTGTTGTGAAACTATGAGAACCGGTTGATGACCAGTGCCAGCTCATCGTCCCCAAGTGCCTCCATCTGCTCCTCTGTAACAGACACCAAAGAAGACAAGGCAAAGGAGATCTATGAAGGGTTAGCTAAAGAACTTGAACCATTACCTGAGACTAAAGCCATGGTAGGTGCAGATGGGTTCTTGATCTTGGCTTGGGTCTAGTAATCGATCTTGGTGGACTTGAGCTTGCTGAAGAGCTCATCCACAGTGAGGGTGTCGTAATTAGCGAACTCAATGATAGCGGACACCTTCACATCCCAAACCTTTAGATCTAGGGCGTATAGTAACTTGAGAGCCCTCTCATGATCATCATAAGGCAGTTGTGCCCTGTTTGCCCGCATCTTGTTCACAATCGACTGAAAGCGAGAAAACACGGCATCTATGGACTCTCAAACCAATTGAGAGAAGTTCTCATACTCGCGTTTGTACGTCTCGAAGAGTCTGGTTTTGACCTATGTAGTTCCCTCGTGATAGCTCTAAAGCCTCACCCAGGTCTCTCGAGTAGTAGTACAATCAAAGACTCTCTCAAACTCAAGGAGCAAAAGACTCGAAAAGAGAACACTACGAGCCTTGCTATTTGCGTTGTGTTGGTCAATCTGCTCCTGACTGACATGAGCAAAGACGCACCTCATAGTTGGAATCCCCACAAATCTCATAAACTCACCAATCAAAGCCCCAAAGATGCGCAGACATGCGGATCTTTCAGTAGGGGTAGTTTGTTCCATCGAAGAACGGTGGTTTGCTGGAACCACGCTCCATGTTGCCTTCGTGGATCACGGGCCGATTAAGGTGGAGTGATCCTTAACCGACTTTGATACCAATTGAAGGAAAGGAAACGGTGACCAGAGGGGGGGGGGTGAATGGGAGCCGCAAATTTCTTTGGAAACTTTCGACCACTGTCCCAAAATCACACCTTTTCGATAAAGTACGCTATAAGGAATAACAAAAGATTGATGAATTCATTTCACATCTTTCCATTTCCACATTAGCACTATCAAAAGAAAGCTCCTTGCTTTTCTGATCTCACTATCAGTAGTGATCATCGAGACATGACATAATAAGTCTATCTAATAAATATTGGAATTGCACGGGCAGACATCCAATGCATTTCGATCACATGAACACTACGAACCCAATGGATAGGGTCTACTCCAGTTGAGACTGATAACATGGATTCAAAACATTTCCCGAGTTGAACCAAGAAAGACAGATAGATGAGAATTGATTCATTTCACCGATGGCAATGAGTCAAGTCCTTGTCAGTCCACCTCTTTGTTTTCAACAGTCTTTGGAGCTTCTAGTACCACTAGTGTGATCTCATTCTTGAATGCTAACACCACGTGTCTCCTAACGCTACGCTTTCTAAGCAACTTTGAGTGTTCTCTCGAACTAGGTGAACAATCCAGGGCGATAGCATGAAAGGGCCTCGTCATTGCTCATCCAGTGAACTACATTAGCCTGCTCGTGTGGAGCAGGATCTTGCATAACTCTTTCAAATTAAAGGGTTAACTCTTACGCTTTGTATTTCTCCCCACCCTAGTCCTTGAAGACCTAACGGTCTTCTATGGTATGGCCAAGTAGTCAAGATACGGAAAATAATTAGGGTTGTTAGAGTGCATTATATCGTCTGGTCTCTTACTATCCAAGCATTTCTTTCCATTTTTGAAAACATCTTGAAAAAAATATGCTACGCCCTTTTCTCTTTGATGTTGACTTCTCCTTTCTTCTAGTGTGGGGCCCTATGATCTTGCCACCTTTCCAGAATTATGGCAAACAAGAAGCTTCCACGTGTCCTGTCCTGATTCTTTGCTTGCCCCGGGAAGGCGCAAGTAGCCCAACGACAGGCTTGTGTGGAGGATAGCACGCAGAGGTCTTTTGGAGAAATGGGGGGCTCTTTGTCTAGGAAGGGCAAAGTCAGCAGGCCAATCCCAGTTTCAGAATTGGTCTCACAAGCAAAACAGCCAAGTAAGCTAAGTTTGGATCTGATAAGGTTGGGTTAAAGCCAAAGTATGGAATTTCAGGATAAATCTAGCTCTATAAGTAAGGAAATATCTCTATCCGATTAGTTGTAGTGAAAAGCACCGTGATGCCCTCGATCCAAAAGAGTGGGTGGATGTTCCTTAGGAACACAGTGGGACACCACAAATGAGCAAGAAGCGCTTCCTGAACCGAAGGACGGAAAATGAGATACCCAACTCCTATTGAGAAGAAGCGAGTTCTCGAATCTAAAATACCCAAGACAACCGGTGACAAGAGTACCTAGATAAGTTCCTTGGATCGATTGAAGACAAGCGCAAAAGACAGAACGCGAAACAGAATCAAATGACCAAAGAATAACTGCTGAACTGAGTGCAGTCAGCCCATACCAGAAACGTCCGGTATGCTGAACAGCACAGAGCGATTTTGGGAGAAAAATTGAAAACCCTATCCAATGGTGTCCAAAAATTATGAAATTTTAACCACAGCCTCTAGACACCTTGAGGTAGGTCTCCACCAAATATAAGCTCTAAACTCGAAAGGTTGACCTACCAGACACGTCCGATATTCATATCGGACGTGTCTGGTATTTACGAGCAGTTCTCGGGAAAAATCAATTCAACTCCCAAAACTCGATCAAATCAACTCGGAAACACTTGAAACTTTGCAGAGAGGATTACCACAGAGTTGGTAGGCTACTCCTAAAAGATCATTTCCCAAGACAAATCCAATCAACAGGAAAACAAGAAGTTGCGACGAACCCTATTTTTTCACCCCTAGAATTTGATTCGCCCCGATCTATGAACTCGTGAGGAATTAGATGAAGTCCTTTGCTGGAAGGGATCAACTCACGTCTTAGTTCATCTTAGATAAAAAAGAACGAGTTAAAATGCTCTCAAAATGACGAATCGATCCAAGAAAGAAAGGGGAAAAACAAGAACGCGAAGAACACGAACATGAATCATAAAAGCACCTCACAAATCGAATCCTCGGAGCACACGAGGAGATTAGGACCTCCATTCTCAACCAAAATCATAGGTTCAATTACATCGGGACACTAGTTCATCGGTGGACCTCTTGAGAAGAACCTAGAGAGGGAAAAACCTAAGGTGGAGAAAATGAAATGGCAAGAGGTGAGGGAGATCAGGGCTCCCTCATCCTTATTTAACAGGGCTATTACATAATCCCAAGCTAGCCCCTAGATATTTTGAGTCGAACCAGTTAAGCCGAGGGCATGATGGTCCAACCCGAGGTAGTCTTCATCCGACGGCCACCACGCCCTTCATGAGATAGCTTCACCTCGACGCGAGCTCCTCGATGCCGCCACGTGCCGTCCGTTCCTCCTTGGAACCTCCGTCCGGGTTTTGAGGCCCAAACCTGAAAACCGTCCACCCGATGGTTTTGAAGCCCAAATCATCAAACCGTCCACGAGCAGCGTACTCCATACGCGTCCCCCACAACTCGACGCATGACCCCGCCGTCCTCGGTCGGCTGGGCGCCAAGTCTTCCAGAGCCTCCACTCGACTTGCTCGATCGTCGTCTTGACTCGGTCAACATGGTCACTCCCATGTACACTTGCGCTTATCGATGTCCCTAGATGTCAGCCGCCTCGGCTGGTCACCCGGTCTCCTGGTCCCTTGGTCCAAGCCTCAGTTCGTCCTTCACCGCTCCCGGTCCATTGGCACGGCACGTCCCTATTGGACCTTCACCTCGCCATTGACCACCACCTCCGAGCTCCACACCTGTGCACCACAAGCCAAGAGACATGTTGCACAACCCAACTCACGCCATGGTTAGTTCACAAACTCAACCCAAGACGTGAATCACATTAACAATCACTTATCACAAACCAAACCACAAGGGCACATATCAATCTTGTGTTCGCACATTTTACCAAGGCAGAATAATCATTTTCGTGCTTGTTCAGAGGCTCAAATTTGTCCCTAAGCTTTAAGGGCTTTTTGGAACGTAGAGATTTCACATGAATCATATAGAAATTTCGTAGGAATCTCTTCTTTTTTCACATGAAAAACGCATGAAACAGAAAAATTCCTACATTCCAAAGAGACTATAAAAATAGGTGGTCCGTTCATAGAGTTTACATTTGGACCTTATCTCATCACAGGATTATCAAAATAGTCGTTTCAATCCTTAAACTTTAACTTTTAGGCTCAATTTTATCCATATAAGTTAAAAATGACTGTCATTATAACCTTTTGTCCTTTTCATTTTGACTCAACCTCATCCCTCCTATGTGGTCTGCTAAACTATCACGTTGTCGTGCCTCATCGGCTACTTCTCCAACACCACTCGCGACTAGAGAATGGTCATGGTTAGGTACCTGTATTGGAAGATAACATAAGACCAGGCTCAATGGGACGTCACGAGAGTTTCACTACTACAAAAATTGTTTGTAGCAATGGGATAATTTTTTTTATAGGGGCGGTTGATGATGGAGCCGCTTCTATAGTGGCGTGTTCAGGCTCCAGCACAGCAGCCGCCTCTACAAATAGCACAGTAGAGGTGGCTGGTAATACGAGTCGTCCCTACAAATATGTCTATTTGTAAGAGCGGCTTATATTACCAACAGCCTGTGTCCATTTGTAGGGGCGCCTGTACGAATGCCCGTTGTATATACAGCTGTTGGGGGAGAAAAATATCTCCCTCGTCCTCTCGACCTCAGCCCGAGACGCCGCCTCTGGGCTTTTCCCTCGCATCGCTCTCTCCCGTGGCGTCCGCCGCGCCACCCTCTGCCATCGCCTCCGCCGCGCGTTGACGTCGACAACGCCGAGCGTCGCCTCCGCCTCTCCTCCCCGCAGAGCGGCACCTCGGCCTAGGCGGCCGGCCTCCGGTGCAACCGCCACGCCGACCTAGGGTTTCGGCGCAGAACCGGCCTTGGCCCGGGCTCAGCGGCGCACCGGCGTGGGTGGCCTGCTCGAGGAGGTGGAGCGCCGGTACGCGCACAGCGAGTTCCTGCTGTCCCGGTACGCGCACAGCGAGTTCAACCTCCACTCCAAGGCCACCATCGGGGTGGAGTTCCAGACGCAGAGCATGGACATCGACGGCAAGGAGGTCAAAGCCCAGATCTGGGACACCGCCGGCCAGGAGCGCTTCCACGCCGTCACCTCTGCATACTACCACAGCGCCTTCGTCGCGCTCCTCGTCTACGGCAAGGAGGTCAAGGCCCAGATCTAGGACACAGCATGTGAAGGCGGCCTCCTCAATTGTGGCATGAGGTGGGTCTCCGAATTGCCGGCCTCCTCTTTCGCATTGCTGAGATATCTCGTGCGAACGGCGAGGTCCTTCGCATGGATTTCTTTTTTATTTAAGGCTCCGCTTGGATTTGGACACCGCTGGATCCGTGCCTTGCCTCCTCTACTCCTCCTCCGCCACCCCTCTGAACCCCACTCGGTCGTCCGGCCACCCAAACCACGAATCCACATGGCCCTGCTGCCTGTTGCTTGACGGGGTTCATGGACTCAACTTCGGCAGCGTCGTTGCTGGTGACTTGCGGGAGGAGTTGGTGGGTGATCTCAGGATCAGCGTGTGACCAGAAAGGTTGACCCCCTTCTTCTTCAATGGTTTCTTGGACTCGCTGATGTTCCTTTGGTCGGTTTGCTTTATCTCTGACAAGCCTTTTACCTAAATTTTCTGGTTCTCGGTTCGCTGCAGGGTTGACAAGAGGAGATCTGGGCTTCCTGAACCTGACAAGGATGATGGTGGAATGAAAGAGCTTGTCGGGACCTTTCTTCTTCCTTCTCTGTTCAGTCTGCCTGGGTGCATTTACACACAAGCGGCTGGGAATTGCACAATCTTGTAAGCATCTCAAACACGTGTAATCCCATTCTTGAAATCAAATATAGTGCCTTTCTTCTTCAGATGTTAAGATGATTTTACTTTTAGTAAGTTCATTTTAGCAACTTTAGTTAGTCATCATGTCAATGTTCAGTGTTCAGTTAGACAATGGATCTGTGTGCAATTTAGTTAGTTATTATGACAGGGAAACATAGGATGACCCTTACATATGTTTAACTGAACATTTATCAGTTGGATATTTGTAGGATTGTATGCTATCCTAATATGCATGTGCTATAAGAGGTATTTTAATATATTTGTGTTTTTATTTTCATATCTCATGCAGAAATTCTGGGGAAGAAGGGAGGTCTTGGATTTTAGAGTGAGACACAGCATGCATGCATTACCCACTTCCATGCAGGTCAGTAATTTCTATATATTCCTATAGTGGTCAGTTATTTTCTTTGTGTGCGGCTATGGTATGTTTGACGAAATTATGAAAATTCCCTTTCCATATAAAAATGATTTGCTCCATATGTAAATATATCTGACATAGTTAAAGTTCATATGGTTTTGAGGCAGAACAAGGTTGGTTAGTTTACTTGTTTATCTTTAATGCTAATTGATGTGGCCGTAGATGCTATGCTTGGATATGTTCGATCCCTTGATCACAGCATAGTTTACCATCAGTAAGAACCATCAGATGGTTACCTAAAGCTAGATCCCAGCAGAGGATCTGCATAATTTTATTCTGGAGATTGTCATTACTATTTTCTGTATTGCGGGTATGCATGCAGATGCATGTCGATTTTCAAATCAAATTGTATAAACCAATCAGTTATCCGATATTATCTGGGGAAAAAATGTGTGCTTCGTTGGCATGCCTTGCTTAGTTGCTATCTGCATGAGATTTCAAATTGTGACAGATAGGTGGGCCTGTTTTAGCTCAGACATATTAGTGATGGTGATAGGCAGTTGTGGGCCTCAGGCTCAATCTCAGCTCAATCACTTTGAACCTTTTGTAGCGCACTGAAGATGTTCAGTGGACATTAGCATGTGCTGGTTATCCATACCAACAGACAAGCAATCCAATCTCAAATCCATCCTCTCTTGTTCAGTATCATTTATTTTTCGTTGTCTTTTACTCCCATCACATGCAAGCTAGTTGTTCCTCCACATACATATGTAATAATTGTCTGTACCCTATGATCTGAAAGGCTGGACTATTGATGGTTGTCCTACTAATAGTAGTTGCTAATCAGTTGTTTTCTGTGCGAATTGAAAAGACAAAAGTACTTCTGAGTACACTTGAATTGTTTCCTTAAATATTACAAAGAAGCTACATGGCCAGGGTTTGTCGAAATGAGATGATAGCGGCCTTTAGTTGTTATATTAATTTAGAACCAAAATTTTCTTTGTTTTGACCTTTTATAGTGTATTGATTATTAGTTTTGAAATTTCCTCCTATTTTTCTATGTATTGTTCTAATCGGCTGATACTTTCATGTATCACAGGCTTCCACCTCACATCAAGAGCCAACAGACGTGGTCTTGTGACCACTGATGCTGTGTTCCCTTCAACTGATGGGCCTCCATAGCTTAGCTTGTCCGCGGCGAAATCCACCAGACATGTAAGCAGACAGGAGTATATAGGGAAATCTTTTGTATATGTGCAATCACCTAAGCCTTTGGCAATGAAGGAACCTCCGGCTAAATAGTCAATTGGATATCTTGGTGAACATGAACATGGCTGCAAACTATGATCTAGTGTGTGTATGAACTGATCTTCCATTTTCATCCATAGTGCCCAGCCACTATTTGCTCCAAAAGCACTTAATGCTTACTTATTTTTTTCGATATCTTTTGTACTGAAGTACCTCTTATTTTGCAGTTTGTCCAGAGCAGTCGCAATGAGTGCCTTAAACCAAAAACAAGGGTGGATAATTTACAGAGGACTCAGAGGCAAGTCTGAAAGGAGTTTTAAGAATTCTCTTAAGTCATAACCCTCTGAATTAGATATCAATTTATGGAGGCTAAATGAAGAAACCATAATGTAATCGCATTGAAGTTAAAATAAGTTTCTTAATGTGAATGTGTAATGCTTAGCTAAGATGCACACAATTGATTTTGGCTTTATTGGTAATTACAGGAATTTGCTTGGAGAAGATCTGGGGTCACTTGGTACGAGCTTGAGCAGCTTGAGAAGCAATAGATGTTTGTATATATACTTGTAACGTTCACTTAGGTAGAAATCCTCATTACCAACACCTTGTGCTCTTGTGCTTGTGGTCAGATTTGAATTATATATGTTCTGATTAGATTTGAATTATATATATATATATATATATATATATATATATATATATATATATATATATATATACACACACACGTTTTGGTCGAATTTAAATTGTAAATTTGATTTTTTTTGCGAAAAATATACTGTATGGACGGTTCTAGATTGAACCGCCCTACAAATAGGTATTATAGGGGCGGTTGGTACTACAGTCGCCCCTATAAATCGATTTGTAGAGGTGGCTGCTGTTTTCAGCCGCCTCTATAAATCGATTTATAGGGGCGGCTGAAAACACCTGCCGTCTCTATAAATCAATTTATAGGGACGGTCTGGAAACCGCCCTACAAATACATGATTTGTAGAGACAGTATAGTAACCGCCCATAGAAATCATATCTGACCTAGTGTTTTATGGACATTCAATGAAGTCTCATGTCGGCAAAAACTACAGCTTCGCTCCCCCAAAGTCATAGTGCGGATGTGGGCACGTACTATTGATCCATCCTTCTTTGAGAGCTCTGTGTCGCCACAGCCGCCACAACGATCGTTCCTAGTGTTATGTTCATCGCCCATGGTGAGATCGAGTGGGGTAGTGAAGCCGTGCGCAGGATCTTGATAAGCCGAAGCAAATCCTAGAGATGTTCCAGGCTTGCAGCTCAAATGCCTCCTTCACAATACTCCATTATTTAAGCCTGCACACAACCCTTCACTACCCATCGCTTGTCATGGGCTTGCTGTCATCGACCCGACCATGTCACCTGCACCTCACTACTACAAAAAGCATTTTTAGGGATGGCTGGTAATCCTTTGTAGCGGCGGTTTGGCCAGCCACCCCTACTGAACCATCTCTATAAATCATGTATTTGTAGGGGCGGTTCCCAAACCGCATCTACAAATTGATTTATAGGGGCGGCTGGTGATTGAGCCGCCCCAATAAATCGATTTGTAGGGGCGGTTCGTATTGCCAGCCGCCCCTACAAATCGATTTGTAGGGGCGGCTCAATCACTAGCCCCCTACAAATAGATTTGTAGGGGTGGTTGTAGTGCCAGCCGCCTCTATAATATCTGTTTATAGGGGCGGTTCAATCTAGAACCACCCCTACAGTACGTTTTCCCGCAAAAAAAAAATCAAATTTACAATTCAAATTCGACCAGAACTGTTTGTTTCCGCGTATTCCATCTAGCGTTCGCGTTGTCGAACGCCACGCGACCAACGTTCCGAACCGCGTTCGCGTTGCCGAACGCGACTACAAGCACAATAGTATTATATAAACTACAATTACAAGTCCAATTCATAAGGATATATACAATCCATCATTAAATATACAAATTCCATACACATTGTTATCAACGTCCTAGAGCTAGCCTTTTAGTCTCACGAAGGTGTTGGTACTGAGGATTTCTACCTAAGTCAGACTCTCGTTCATGGTAGACGCCTTTGACGTGTATAATCTGGTCCAATATAAAGTTGCAAAGGTCGCCGACGAGCTCTAAGAGTTGGTTATCCTTTTATGGATCTTTTTTCATTCCTTTCTCTTCTCTCCACTACAAGAGAACAAGTTTTGGTTTAGTATTTCATACCATGTACGAAGTTTTTATACTACTAATGAAGAGGTTCAAACTTACCCTTAAGGGGTGTCTCCTGCAGGCACTGGTGTTACTCGTCATAGAACATATATAGTATCCACAATGTACACTCCTAGGCCTCTGCTTGGGGCACTGTGTGTTTTGCATATGAAAATGTTAGGTAATGCTTTTGACATCCCTGTAACGGAGTACTGAAGAAGTAAGTTACACTTACCGCACATAGTGTTTTTATAGCCAGTTTTTCCTTCCTTGCTAGATCATGCCTTCTGTGATGATGAGTGACATAGAACCTAAATGCTCGATTCGAATTATTTTAGCAAATACAACTTGTTAGTATCCATAAGTGAACGTTATAAGTATGTATACAAATATATAAGCTAATGAGGATTGTCGATATGTATACGTCTTAAGAATCAATATGAAGTCTTTGTATGTCGCCGGGTCCTTATCTATTGAATCAAAGACCCATGCCATGCTCCTCCCGACATCGACGACTATACAAATCCAGTGGTTGTTGCA